ATTTTGGCTTCTACACACAGGCACTGAGTCTGAAAAAAATGGTTAACAGAAATCTGCTTGGAAGCCTTAACGCTTCTGCCTGAGTATAACAATGCTCATTTCTCCCATCCCAATTTTTAAAAACCTCTTTCCTGCCAAGGCAGAGGGACAGACAGACATACAAATGCTGGTTTAAATTATAATATGCTCTCTCCTGATATGTAATACATACAGTATACATAAATAAATGATCTCATACATCTTCAAAGTGCTCACAGAGACCTTAATTTACATAGCAAGCTAGATATTATGTATGTTAAGATTAGCCATCTCTGAGTAATTTCATTTCTTACGGATAAAAAACAAGCGATGGGGTAAAACGCTGTATTAAGGTGCAGCCATTAAGCCATTAAGGTGCTGCCGCCCCCATTGGGCCCTCGGTCTGACCTCCCTGTAGGCTGAGTCCTCTCCCCACTGCCTGAGCTCCCCGGGAAGGCTGCAGACCTGATTTCTCGCCTCACGGCCGTTGAGCCATCAGCTAACCCCATCACCACCCTGCTCGGGGGCTGCAGGGTGCCCTGGCTCACCCTGCACCACAACCCTGCCATTGAGGAGTCTCCAGCAGGCCCAACAGCCTTCCCTCCCAGCCGCATCCCATGCCAGCGCCAGCCCTCCCTGCCAGCCTGCACACCACAGGGACAGAGCACACCCACCGCTGCTGACCGCCTTGGCGGCCCCATGCCCCCAGCAGCAGCTGGACCCAGGCTGCTCTGGACCCCCATGCTCTAGCGGTGTGGGGCATCCTCAGCCAAATGACAGGTAGACATCTCTCAAAGACACCACAGATGGGACTGGAGGGCTAGTTAATGCCTGTTCGCTTCCCCCGAACTGAGAGCTTCCACTGCAAGTCTTGCATCAAAGGTTGTAAAAAAAAAAAAAAATTAAAAAAAAATCTTAGAAATAAAAAACAACCCACCAAACCCACTATTTAGCCTTATGGTCCCCTTACCTCCCATTTTCAAATTAACAAGGCAGCTAGAGAAATTCTCTTATTTTTAAAACTAAAGAAATGAAATTGGTGACAAACATACAAAAAGTGTTTTGAGGAGGGGATGCATTCCTTAAAAAAAAACACTTCACACGTAAAATGTGAACCTATTCTTATGATATCATTTGCAAATCCCACTAAAGTTCAGATGTTCTTTACGTGAGACAGCTGAGGTTAAGGCCAAGATATTAGATCACTAAACATTTAAGGAAAAAATAGTATGTCTTTTTAACACTGGGACACCCTCAGTAAGGACTAATATAAACTCCACTACTTGTGTGACACTTGGATGCTTAACATCTTAGCGTATGTATAACATCAAAATGCGAGAACTGCTGATTATATTTGCTCCAAAACTTACAGTGCATTTTCCATGTCTGCTATACTTTCTTCCATTTTCTGTTACTACGTAGAGGTAAATAAAGTTGTCATGGGATCCAACTGCAAGTAAGGTGCCATCTACAACACAAAATATTTGATATAAATTAACAAAACGTTTGTTTTCCAAATTTTCATGATTTCAGATTTATCACTAAGACAATAGTCTCAATTAAACTACTGCTCACACATTGTATTTAAGGATACATAAGTGTTTATGTTATATTGGTTTTCAGTCAGTATCTTTTTACTTTGTGGGCGTGTTTTTTGGGCAAGTTCTTGCACTTCTGTTTTTTTAAGTAAGTGTCCAGTGGACAGGGTATAAATCCTCAGATTGCATTGGATTTCTGGAAATTGTTGACAGCAGGCAGGTTTGAGTTTTCTGTATCACAGAAAATGCAGAACAGTATTTACTCTATAGTTAGCTTAGCTTTCGGGGTGGGGATTGCATATAAATCAGCACTAAATGCCTAAAGGAGTGGAGCATTCAAACATTACAAGCAGTTTTAACCTGTGCTGTCCCTATTTAAAAAAAAAAAAACAAAACAGTACATGGACAAGAGTTGCCTTGAATCATGACCAACCTCTAGTGTCAATGAGCATCAGTGCTTTAAAATAAAATGCTGCACTTGGCAGATGTGGCAGCAGCAGAGGAACGTTTTGCCCACTGACATGGCATGTTATCCAAAAGCAAACAAGAAACAGATTTATTAGAGTGTTGTTCCATCCAGTTTTAACAGAGAGGATTCAGGCTCTGATGATCTCAGTTCACATCTGAAGAGGAGTCTCAATACTGGCTTGGACTCCATGTAATCCCATAGCAAATACTTAATGAACAGCTCTGTGTTTCAGACAGACCTGAGCTTAGTTTTATCGTTTTGTACTAATAAACTTGAAAATTAAGTAAGAAGTTTATTAAAATATTACCGAAATATTAAGCTTTTTACAGACTTTTCTGTTAACCTGCCAACTATTCAGTTGGGAACTTCTAACTTTTCTGGGAGCAAAGCTAACATTTTTTATAACTGCACAGTTCAATGTGAAGGAAAGACTGGGAAAGGCGACAGTAATGTTTGCAGTTACAAAACGCCAAGATTTAGCATACACAAACAAATCTGTAACCAAGCATTCAGTTATCTATTAAGCATCTTAAATGTGTTGGTTTTTTTTTCAAAGCTCTGCCTTTTCTAAAGACTGGGAAATAGTTTAGCACCATTTAACGGAACAGATATCTGATTTATCAGCAATTACTGTGAACAAACAAGTCTGCCTACCTACTGAGTAGCGCATCACCGAGAGCTGCTCATTGCCATCAGTGTGTATTGAAACCAGATCCCTCGTTTCCGCATCCAGAACAAACCACCTAGAGAGAGGAGAATTCGAATGAGTATCACTTCCACTGAACAAAAAAGCAAGCACAAGAGCAGTAAGCACTGCCTGCCTTCATCTTCTCACGCTAGCCCCTCAAGGGCAGCACAGCGAACATCTGTTTTTAATGTAACGTCCTTCTGGTTCACAAAGCGGTAAAATTTTCAGCAAAGAATATATATAAAAGATTCTAAGTACAGCCCGTTTTTTCCCCCCTCCCTTGAACACTGCAATAATAACCAAAATGTCTACTGGATGATAAATATGCCACCAGATAGCTGAAATGACTGCACTGTATCATCCTGAAGCCTTAAGGCTACAGCTGAATTTTAATCTACTAATTCTTCCCCATTTTGAAGAACAGCTTTGATATAAAAACTGACCTTTCAATCTGTATGAAACGAAGTTAAAAAAAAATAAACATAGAAGTAGTAGGAGGGAGTGGAAAACACTTCCATACTCATTTTAAACACAAAGTATATTCTAATTCAGTATTTTCCCCTCAGTCCTTTCCATTTCTATGAATAAGTTTATCAAAGTAAGAAGGAATAACCATTTACTGAAATGTGATGGTTCATAACCTGGCAGTTTTTTTATTTCCTGCTTGGATGATTTATAACTAAGGTAATTAATTGCATTTTTTATTATTCAACAATAACTTTTAACTGGCAGTATTAGTTACGAAGCACGTGTAAAAAACTCAGAGAAGCTTACAAAAACTCAGCAGCCCGTACACTGTAATGGCCACTGACAGCAAGACGAGCAGAACCTGAGCGTTCTGCAATGGTTCAGATGCCCACCTAACTTCTAAATACAGGGAACGTTAGTAAAACAAAGACAATGAAAATTTAATAAAAATATATATATACATACATGTATATCATGAAAATGTAAGATGTCAACATGGCTAAATACATTAAATCTATACTCAGAATTTAATTTCTTTGCTCCGAACTTCTGGTGCCATGACTGCGTGCATACACCGCAGCCAGGTTTCCATGCCTAGTGGCAAATGGCAAGTTCACACACTGTGGAAGCGAGTAAGGTAATTCCACCTGCTGTCTCACAGCGAACTCAGTGGAACACTGCTAAAGCTGGGACCATTTATTCAAGAACAAACTTATATAACTTAAAAATAAACTCTGGGAACAACAGTGCACATCACTGCTTTCTATGGATGGAGATGAGATTCCAGCTCGCGTTCATCTAAGTGTCCGGCAGCTAGGTGTCTGGAAAGTGGCCTGGTCCCAATGGCTTAAAACCAGCTTGTGCTTAGAGAACCACATAAGAGAAATTAAATGACATAAGCATAAAAAACCCCAGCCCCACATGCCATGGACTGCTGAATAATCTGTGTGCAAGGCAGATGGAACTAGCGGAAAATATGCTAATATGTTTGCATTGGACAGCAGTAGAAACCACACTCAAGAGTTTCTCTCCTGTAATCCTCTGCTGAAAGTGGACTTTTGATTTCTTCCAATCTACACACCGAAGCTTTGCAGGTTTCTCTGAACGCATTAGGAGTTACAAGTTGCTACTCTGCTATTTAGTTCAAACTATGCCCCCCATTGACCCTGCCAAATGCTCCACTAAAATGTTACCTGGCTGATAACCCTCACAGGGGTGTGGATATTAAAGAAAAAAACAAAATAAATAAATAAACAAACCCCATCCAAAACCACAGAAGGGTTTGGCAGGGGGGAAGAGAGAGGGTACCTATGCCATTTTGACACCACAGAAAGAAAAGCAATCACTCCATCACGACAGCAAAACTGCTCCAAAAGTACATCCCGATGGGACAACAATAGAAGCGTGAAGAACACAGATGGAGGCATCACTGAGTTGAAGTCATCTGGTTTTCAAGCAACACGAAAAGCTGGTCTGAAAGTCAGCGCCCCACTGCCTCACTCTAATTTGTGTTTTCCTGAATCCAGCACAGGGTGGAGGCTCCTCACTGCTTCAGCCCAGGTGGGCAACACACCTCTTGTGCACGGGCAGTGAAACCGGAGATTGGAAGACCTTTTGCTTTACCAGAAAACTTAGGTAGTATACTGTAAAATCTATTTATCTAGCAAGATGACACAGCATGATGCCTGTTTGTTTATTTTGAGCAGCGTAATTGTAGTGCCTGGATATAAAAACTGATGATAAGCACAGCAGCAACCAAAAGCAGCCTTCTTCCACAAAGCTCTTTTGCTTTTTCTGGTTTTCATTGATTTTCTCCCAATTCTTACTGAAGATAAACATGCTTAACTTGTTTGTGAGTTCATGTAAACAAGACAGAACTTTTGCCATTTTTATACGTTTGTCTTCCCCTCCTTTGCTTTAAAAAAACCCCACTAACAACCTATCTATAATAAAAGCGTGGTTTTAGAAACAAACCCCCTTAAACAGCTCTCTTTTGGAAAACAAATTCTGATCCATGACAGACATTTGTTACTGATAATTCACATCTGTGCAGAATTTTTCTGATGAAAATCAACAGGGAAACAGTATTCCAAAGTAGTAATATATTTTTGCACTCACACTTGCACTTCCCATGTTCATTTAATACTGAATGTTGAACCTGCAAGGCATTAAGCAGAGTGAACAAACCAACCCATCCCAGTTCCCTGGGATATTTAGGCGGCTTCATCTCAAATACCACAACAGATACTGAACTGGTATAAACTCTCAATAGCTCTATTGACTGATTTACCTCCTTGTGGCTCTGGCTTATGCTGGTCATGTCCTCTAGCCTCCAGTTTTCTTAATAATGTTTGTATTTTTCTAAGACTCTTTCTAGTCTTTTTTTCTGCAGTGCACAGCACTCAAGGTATTCTACATGACTAGTCACAGAAAGGTCTACTTCCCTGCAAACAATACCTCTGGCAGCATGGCAGAAGGATCTGCATAGTGCTTTGAAAGACCCACTTCTCTGGTAGGATTCCTGATTGCCAGCCTTTTTAGTTTTTTAGCGGTGCCTTTCCTGCAAACAGCAGGATCCGCAAAAAGTATGTGATCTCTCCAAACCAGGCTTAACCCCAGACAATTGATGATCAGGCACACAGAAGGTATTTAAAGAAGTGGTTAACAAAACCTGCAGGAGATTATTTGCAGGGAGCCCAAAAAAGGAAATTATACCAAAATACTCATCATGGGAAGTGATATGTGAAAACCACACCAAAACCATGACATATTGGCCTGATAAAGATACACTGCTGTGGAACAACAGCCAAGAATGGGAAGAGAGGTAGAAAATTCAGTTTTCTTCAGATGTCACAATTTTAACCATCAAACACAACTTTCGTAATGTTCCATTCTCTACCCCTGTTTTACTGACCTCCATACTGGAAGCAGAGCAGCACTAGAACAACAATAGACAGACACATCCAAGGTTTACCAAACTCTAAACAACTTAAACTCATTTAAAATATTGGCTTTATGCATTTTGGCCTATGAATCAACTAAGTTATTAAATAAGTTGTTAAGGGCTTGAGACTATTTTCCCTCATATGTTAACTGAGATATATCATGCAGCCCTCATTCCTTGGGAAATAACTCCCTTGGACTGGATTATCTGGCACAGAAAGCACCACGTGATACCGTTGGTTAGGCAGTAAATTTAAAACTGTTCTGTTTGTCTTGATTCACAGCTCCATTTATTTCTCATACACGTGTGCATTTACCAGGTCTCATTTCAATTCAGTTTCATTTGTATATCTCAAACCTATCATTGCATTATGCAATTTCAGAACACAATAAAATATAATGGTGAAAATATAACTGCTCAGTTCCAAGAAGAACAGGGTGAAAAAAACCCCACCAAGAACCCAAGGCCATCATCATAAATTTATCCAACACAGTATAAACCGGTTGCCTCAAGTAATGAAAAAATATGAATTTAAACCGAAAAGTGCTGAACTGACAAAGTAATGTTAAAATGCTCCAGGAGGAAAAAAGAAAAAGGCAGAAGCAAACACAAGACTGCATGCTTCAGCTGCTCAATATGCCTTTGTTGGGCTTTGATCTAGTTTCAAAAAGGTCTAATAACGCTCAAGAAATTGAGCCTGACCTTCTTTTCCCTTTTCCCTGTTTCAAGTACTATTGGGCCAGTATCTTCTGCTCTGTTTAATGAAAGTAGAAACACGTGTTCAATTTAATACCATAATTTGAAAGAGATGAAAAAATGGAAAGCTTCAATGTGAAAACCAAATATACAAGAGCTCAGCAAGATTCTTCTTAGAAAGGTAAACTATGTATTCTAGTCTGATGTTATACGTAATGAATTTAGTGAAGACAGCATCTTCATCTTGGAGAAGAAAACTCTTTAAAAAGTATTTAACATTTAGTTTTTCCAGGAAAGTTAAAGGGTGTTGTTCATGTTCAGCAGTTTTTAAATCCAACGTTAAAAAGGATTTTAGGCATAAAAAAAATTATGGGAGGCAAATTACTGCCCCACCCCCAATCTTCTCACATGTACTAAGCATTATTTTATCATCAAGTTGCCAAACATGAGGTAGAACTGAAAAACAGAATAAAAATGCCAGTAGATTTAGTATCTGCTCCTCTCGCCTTTCTAACGCTATGAATATATCCCATTTTTTGTTACTTGCTAAAAATCCCTTGCCGTGGGACTCCTTTCTTGGGAGACGATAACAAGTCAGAACCTGGATATGAATTAAAACAATTTTCTTCCACCACTGAAAGAAGCCTGAGTTAAAGGATTTGGCTTGGGTTTTGATAGCTTTCAAACAAGCAATGATTTTAAGAATGAACAGGAACAGCTCAATAGCACTTCACTGCAGCAACGTGCCATGTGGAACTCTGTCTTACACAAAAATCAAAATACTAGCCTGTTCACTTGCCTTTCTATGTCAATTTAGAAGGTTGCAAGTGTGTTTGATTTGGGAAGGAGAAAGATCTGTACAGTACCTGTTTTATAAACCAATGTCACACATGCACACACACAGAGTATTAAAATATATGATACTTGGTAAAACCAATAACGAATGCTCATGGAACTCCCCCACAAAAAATAGTTAAAAGAATCAACATCTGGGCTTTCATGAACAGTAGTTAACAAACCAAAACAGCCTAGCAACAGTCAAATAATCCTTCTGGCTTCATCTAACTCGCCTAAGAAAGATCTGTCCCCTTCCCCCAACCTTTTTAGGCTACTTAACCTGAAGGAAAAAGAATTAAAACCAAATGATATGTGAATTCCAATATATAAGATGCCTAGTATCAAACTGTCTCCTTCAAACTTTCACAATTCAGTTGAAAGGTGTTTACCTGCCCGAGTGTGTTCCTATCGCAACCACTGCTCCACTGGGATGGAAGTCAGCGCAGTGCCCCGGTTCCTGAACAGAGAGGCAGAGACAGGTCATTCACCCGCTCACTTCCTTAGGGTCAAACACCTCTCCTTGTACCAAAGCTACTCTAAAAGCCTGAGGGGAACTGACACGGTGAAAAACTAATTAGTTAGTAGCACGCTTATAATCCTCAAACAGAATTTCTTCTAATGTATCAGCGTCAGCCTAAATTTCTCTGTAAAAATATACTTTTGGTTGGATATTAGGACAGAATTAGCCAAAACGTGAAATGAATGATGATAGTAAGAAAGGACTTCTAAAGCCAAACCTTGCACATATATATGATATCCTCTTCGAATTGTTTGAATAATTGGGAAAAAAGTTAAACTCTAACAAGAACAAAGGTCATTGAGTTTTATTGGACTTGGATTGTTAGAACAGCATCAGACAACGGTAACCAGATTACAGTCCATACAATGTCTGATGAGCCTGGTTAAGTTTACTAAAGTTCCCAAATAGCTGTTTTTAATGCCGTAACTACAGGATTTTTGCTTCTCTTGCAACCACATGGGACAAGGATGTTTCAGAAAATTCATGCTTTTTCCTGTTTTCCAACTTTATATTTAATGTTAAAGGTTTGACATACATCTAGGAGCCTGGTCCACTCCAGTGTGTGGTCCACAGAGTTCCACATACACACTTGCCTATCTTGAGCACATGTTAAAAATAAGTCTTTGAAAGGATGGGATGCCAGTCCCCAGAGTTCATCCGTATGTCCCTGGAAAGAAAACACACCCGATTTAACAATGAATAAAATAAAGACTCAAAGTAACACACCAGCAGGGAAACCTTTTACATTTTTGTGTTAAAAATAAAAAAGTTGTTCTCACCTGTACCTCTACTAGGAAACCATCGTTAAATGTTCCCCGCAGAACAAAGTTTCGTGAAGTACCCACTAAAAAATCCGTATGCCCCTGGAAAGAAAACACACCTGATTTAACAATGAATAAAATAAAGACTCTCTTAAAGTAACACACCAGCAGGGAAACCTTTTACATTTTTGTGTTAAAAATAAAAAAGTTGTTCTCACCTGTACCTCTACTAGGAAACCATCGTTAAATGTTCCCCGCAGAACAAAGTTTCGTGAAGTACCCACTAAAAATTGATCTGCTTTTCCTTCTGCTACTGCTCTGATTGTTCCATACTGGTCAGGAACCTAGGAAAACAAACATCTGTAAAGCCACATCACACATCTTAATATGGGCTTATTTTTGAAGGCCACAAATAGTGTACAATGACAGTACCAGAACCACAGTTCTCCCAGTAAAAATAACCTAATCATGTACACATTAGATCAAGAATTGACCAGGAACTTACCTCTTTTATTTGTTCAGTACAGGCATATACAAGAGGATCTCACTCCAAAACAATCTCAACTATGCCATTTTAACAAGTCTCAGCAGAAAAAAACTTACAAATTAAGTTCCATGGATTTTTAGGTGTCAAATATACTAAACAAATGCACTCCACATCCTTACATCTCATCATATAAGGGTAGGAATAATACATAGTTACAGTTTACTTTTCAAAACACATCATGAAAAAATACGAAAAATATCTTGTAGCACATGGTAAATGCTTCCTGATTTTCCTAATGCTTCCTGATTAACCTTAAGTAAATGTTCATATGCCTTATGTCAGCAATGACTCCAAATTTTATTGAGTTTATTGCATGCTTGAATTCTAATAGACTGCTTTATTTTACAGTGTGCATTTTTTGTTTTCTAAATTATTATCTTTAATAATTTTATGTTAATTTAATGTTAATAATTTAACACTATTAATAAAAGGAAAACAGAGATACTGATATGAATAGTGTGTTACCCAAGTCTAATAGTTGTATACGATAGTAAATGCTTACTCACTTTCAGCCATGCTTCCTAAACATCAGTGTTAGATTCAAGGTAATAACAAACTCTAGATGGAACTAAACATATATGTTGAGGAAAAATGCTGCTATAAATGGATACTAGGGAAGTGGAGTAAACCATTACTAGAACAACTGTTTAAAAAGAATATACTATTTCAAGAGGTCATCTTATTGTCAGGGGAAAAAAAAAGTATTTTAAAATTCATAATGCAGAATTTTTTTCCAGTTCATCCCTATTTACCTGGTATTGCCATATAGCCAAATCACAAAGATATATATATTCACTAAACACCTGTTTTAGGTTAAAGTCAAAGAAGTTCCTCAACATAGCTCTTACATTCCTACAGAGTACCCCTATGTATCCTACCTATTGTTTGTCTTATGTCAAAAATTCTATAAAAACCCCCCTCAAATCGCGGTAACATTGTCTTTCTCCAGACAGGCAAACTTAACAAAAACGCAGGTGATACTAAAGAATATCCTCAAAAAATGGACGAATAAAAGAAACTAAGGAAGGGCTTGGAGGAAACAAAAACCTTACAATTTCTGTTCACTTGAACAGAAGAGAACCGAAGCCTCAGATAGGCTCATGTATAGTCTGAAAACCGATACACTTTTGTAACAAACCATCATCCACTTAAAAAACCAGCAACCAGAAGATACTCTGTCATCCTAACTACTGATTCTCCAAAGCGTGGGAAGGGCTCCATCTTGCTAGTCAATACCTTGCTCAAGGCATATTTCCTTGTCACTCTTGCTTTCTTACCTCTATTTCCCTTTCGGGATTCAAATCATGATCCCACAGGATGATCTTTCGGTCTTTCCCACCTCCAGTTAGCAGCATCCCATTCCTCATTTGACAGAGTGTGAACACACTGCCATCATGAGCTTTGATTTGTCTGCTTATCTGATATACTCCTACATGCACAGAAAGAAAATAATAAAGAACACTACTCGTTTTTTCACCTGGGGTTTACACGAAGCTGTGCCTTTTGGCAGAAGAATAAAGTAATAGCGTAGAATAAATAATTACATTTGGACTGTCAGGCTATTAGCATCAGTACTGCAAACACAAGGTGGTAGTGTTTTCTTACAGGATAAAAAGATAAAACAAAGGGCTTGCCTTTCTGAATACAAACTTTTTTGAGATTGATTGTCCTACAACCTGTGAAGGCAAGAACAACAACTATTTGCAAAATGCTTTCATTTCTCTGCTCTCCAAGGGAACACAGTTTTTCCAGATGCAAGAGAAACTGTCATTTAGAGTCAACAAATATTTAGCAAGTCATTATTAGAAAAGAATTAAAGTTATTTTATTAAAAGAAATTCAAAGACTGGTTATCTATAGTCTTATGGGAATAAAAAGCAAATTATTTATAGCAAAGTTTCCAGGATGCGTGGACCTAATATCTAATGCTGGATGTTGCCTCACTTAAAAATAGTATAACCAGCATTTGACATCTGTCAATACAGCAGTCTACCCAAAGGAAAACACTAAGAAGAATGAAAGAGAGATGAGAAAATTAAACAACGCTATCAAAGGAAGCCTACTGCATCCTAACTGCGTCTTCATGTCAAAAGAACTTTTGTAGGACATTTTATTTTTTTAAAAAAAGCAAAACTCTGGTGAGACTTGAATATTTTCAAATAGAAACCACAGAAAAAGCCTAAAATACCACCCAAATAAATACCAGCTTAACTTCACTGACTTTGCCTATGGCTCAAGTCAGTTCAAGTCAGCATGCTCTCACACTGTGAAAAAGAGTTTGAGATCAAGTCTTGTGACCAATCGAATGTGATTAACTAACTAAAGAGCCCATATTTAATTAAGCCAATGTAAATAGATGTTCTATTTACTACCTTTTAAGATTACACCACAAAAAGGTTATTTTTGCACAAGAACTTAAAAATTAAATGTCAGATAATTTGTTAAATTACTTTTCCATTGCAGTTAGGTTGAAAGACAAGAAAAAGATTTACCTACAAAAACAGACTTACCATTAAAAATTTACTTTTTACATGAATGTTCTCCTGGCATACCAATTTAAACCAGAGTGTTTGAAATAGCTGCCAAGTAAAATAAATTATCCTTGAATTTGTAAGTTACCTTAGGGCTCAACTGTGCCAGGTCTGCATATGTTGGGTAACAAATCATTTTCCTTTCTTTTTTACAAAAGCTTTGCCCTAAAGAGCAAGTTTTACCCAAACTTCAAATAGGATGGGTTCTAAAGTATACTTTACAGCCAAGACTTGAGTATCTACTAAACCAGATACTGTTATTTACGTAATTAGTACAACTACACGTGATATTTTTCCTTCTCATCCAAGTCCTATTAACATCAGCTTCAACACTCAGTGGTATTGCTCTGAGACTAAGCATGGTACAACATAAGCCTTAAGAGGCAAAGGTAGCCTGCAGAATCCTCAAACTGATCCTACAGACTTTTTCAAATCACAGTGTGAAAGGAAAGCTGATTAACTGCACATTTTTTAAATGCAAAACATTTGAAGTAGTTTTTGTTCACTTTGGGCATAGCCTCAGTAATTACTGAGAAACTCTAGATTGCTATTAAGTCAGCAAATTCATGAGACCTGAAGGAGTTTAGGAGCACCTGTTCACCACAGGAAATGCACACCCTTAGTCAGGCCTGTTTCTCTATTCCTTTTCTAATGCAATCCTTTATGTTTGTCTTCTACAGACCATGTAAAATCTGCAATTAACTGTGAATGTATCCTACCTTTAGGTCCTTTTCCTGGAGTAGATTCTACAGTAGTTTTGCTCCATATAAGTATTATCCCACCTGAGTCTCCAGTAAGCACATCACCATTTCCCAAAAAAGCCAAACACTGAACAAATTTGGGTTTTTCGTATTTCTGAAACAAAATAAGCAAAAGAAAAGGATAATTGCTTGAACTCTTTATGTAATTAGTATAATGTATCCACACGCATACACCCTGCATACACGTAAGCAGAATTTAACCTTTTTTGTTTGTTTACATCTCTGCTTAAACAGTGTATGGTAACAACGGACCAAATTTATAGAAAGCGTGAGCAGATCATACCATTGATTTTAAATTGACCTGATATAAAGACATTCTTACCCCAAATATCCCTTGCTTCCTTGATAATGAATTGCCACTCCAGGTCCAGAAAAATATATGAGATTTGCCACATGTTATTATGGTATTTGCATCAGTTGGATGGAATTCTACAGCAAGAACAACTTCATTTGTAGTCTGAAATAATAACAGAAATAACATTTATTCAGATGGGACATTATCTACTAGAAACACACGTAAAATCCCAAGTTTCAGAACAGATATGAGGAACCAGACAGCTCATTGTATGCTTGAAAGAATCTGTAAGTGTTCTGTTCTAAATCAACTGTCTGAATGACCACACGTATCATTTTATATATACTGATTTTCTACATTCATAAAAGATCTTTATAAAACTTCAGTAGAAAAGTCAGGGTTTTACATTTACTTTTTACATCACAAAAGCTTCTGCCCTGTAGAATAGCTAAGACTTCTGCCATGGAAAGTGAATGATGTATAAAAGTCACATTTTGGGTTGAAAACTCTGCTTAGTTTTTACACAGACTAATTTGCTATTCTGGATAACAAAGCTGTGACAGAGGCAAGTGAGACAATGGTAACACAGTAGGATTATACCCATCATTCTCTTTCTGAAATTCTAAAAAACATTCCTTTGGGTTCTTTCCTCCTCTTGAAGAAGAAAAAAGAAGCCTGCATAACTCAAAACTCTGAAACATGGGGTCCCACCTTCATATTTTTACTGGCTGCATATACTGTTACTGAATTACTAACACCTCCTTTACCAATAGATTTTACAAACACAGCAAACTGACTGGTCATTTATCCAACTTCTAATGTATATTCAACCAAACTGCCTTTGAAGACAATCTCCTGGAGGCATTGACTCTACAAAACGCTTAAGTAAATGCATAAATGCATTTACTTCTATGGGATTTAAGCCCATGCTTTAAAGGAGTATACTTAAAAGTGCTGCTGAATCAGCACCCGTGGGAGTACCCTTTCCCACTCCACCATTTCTGGCTCACTTTAAGAAAACAACCTTCTTAAGTTTCATTTTTTTGTTGATGACCATATTTATTGAATTATGTTTCTCTCTCAGTTTCCTCCACATGAGCAGATCTGCTATAGCCACAAATCGTATGAAAACTAAGGACTGAAAAATTTAATCGACTTCAGCGGAGAAAAGGCTTCTGTTTTGCTCCCTAGCTCAAGGGATGAAACTCTGCTCACACCACCTCTTGTGGAAGGTGCTTAACATACTGCAAGATCGAGTCCTAAACATGAAGGAGGCAAGCTGCCCCTGCCAAATTGTTTTTAGCCAATTCTGAAACACCAAGGAACTCCCTGGAGAGTGAAAAGCATCAAAAAATAATGTCAGTAAAATGGGAGAAATACAAGGCATATGTCAAATAGCTTCACATTAAGTATTGCAAGGAAATTAAAATACTGACATAGCATTACATTAAAACTTACAGAATAGAACATTAGTATTGATCAACATAATTTAAAGAAAATGGATCAAAGCACCTGATTTTGTTATCCGAAATTGCAAGTTTGTAATCTCATAGACATGCTTTTAGGGTATTCCACCTGCTGACTCATGATTAAAAAATATTTTAAAAATACTTGGTTCCACATCCATGAATACCTCATTGCTTGATATTGTATAATGTAAAGCAAGATGGCTGAAAGTATGGACCTCAACAGCAAGTCATTATTGGACTGGGTGTTTCCAGCAGAATCAACTTTACACGACTTTGAGTGCAACGCCTCTGAATGCTTGTCATCAATCAGAGACTTAGAAGACTAGGGAAGAAACAGGAAAGCAGACAAGACTGCGATCTAGAAAAGTACTAATGGACCTCAAACGAGAAGGGACACATGCACCGGGAATCAACGTCTGTAACTCACTTCAGACAAAAATGAAAATAAGGAATGTCTAAAAGTAATTTTTTGTTAAAAAAAACCCCAAAACAACAGACTGAATTGTTGCTTCAGTTTCTTAACGTTCCCAGGATTTATTTTTTTTTTTAAATTAGGAAAACATTAGAGAATCGCTTTATTTGGATTGGCTTTTAGGGATGAGTAAAATGTAATTATAAGTGCTCCAATATTCAAAACCCTTCCAATATACAAGTTGAGAAGGCTTTTCTTTTGTGCCCTTACACAAGCCATCAGTATTACACAGTTGTAGTTTCCAAGTAAGATCAAATGTATGTTTCAAACCGGTGTATTTATGGGAACAAAACCACTTGCATGTCAGAATATTAATTATGCAATAATTACCTTTATTTCTGCTATTTTTGATTTCCTCTGCCAGTCCCACACAGTGAGCATATGCTCATTAGAGTCATCAATTACGCACAAATGAGTACCAGAATCCTAAAGGAAAAAAAAAAAAAAAAAAGTGCTGACAAAATACTATCATACCCCATTTAGAAACAAGGCAGGGCAGTAGTATTTCAAAAAAACATAAAAGTACAAATATAAATTAAACAAGTCCTTTGAAAGTAATTATAACCTTGATATATCTGGTATTTTCCTTTTCTTTTAAAGCCAGACGTAGATTTTTGCATAATCTCATAAAAAATGACCATGTTTCAAGTAATGTTCTAGGAAAGCTTTAGAAGTGTCTTAACAAGCCTTTCCCTTTTAGTTTTTGTTGTCTTTTTATGCTTTCTTGTTTGCAATATCATGCTAGTAGCAAAGAGGTTTCTCCCTTTTTCAATTCTGCCAATGTTTTGTTTTTTCCCAGGTCTCAGAGGACACACAGCTCCACTTGTGTTTTTTTCTTAAATGTCACCATCCCATACACACAACTCTGCTTCATCAAATTTTGTAAGCACATCTCATTTTTTCTTCACAGACCGTTAAGTACCAGCAGTTTTATCATGTAGTTGGTAAAACTGCAGCAAAGGTAATACGGTTTGAATAAAATTATGCTTACAGAGCAGAAAAACTGGTAGCTACGGTATTAAATAACTAAAACAGATTATTTTGAACAATTTTACAACAAAATGGTAAATATGGCTATACGGAATTAAAAGAGGAGACAGAAAATCTTAGAATAAAAACATACTTATTCACAGCAACACATACTTGCACAAACCAGTTGTTTCAAGGGCATGTGCAGAAAGATTTGGAGGAGGCCTTATTTATTTTAAAGTTGATTCTTGCAGTTCAACCGCATTCTCTAACAAACTATGAAAATAGAAGTGGCTGAAATTTTTGTTCCCAAATACTAGCGTGAGCAGAAATATGCAAATACACGTCAATTATTAAGTGGAAAGAAACCATGAAGACAGCACTGGCAATATACACAGCTCTTGCGTGGGTTAATGAAGTTATGTGGTAAAAACACAGCTCTAGACACTGCGCATTCACCGTTTCAGTCTAGTGAGGAATTATATGAGACTGTAATAAGGTATCAAAATCAGTTTCAGCTGCAAAACGGAACTAATGAAAACTAAAATCTAGACCTCAAAAATTCCTTAGTGTTTTTGGTTTGTTTGTTTTGTTTTTAAAATGATGCAGTATGTATTTATTCACCTTGAAAAAAAAACATGTATCTGAGTTCAAAAGTTTTATTGGTTTGTCAGAGTGACAGGAATGACAGTAGTTCTCTCACATTGTTCTTTTTTATTTATGCTACCCTCTATTTGTAAAAAGAAATAAAACCCAGAAATATTTCCTGAAAGACAAAACCTACATAAAACTAACCTAGCAACCTTTCAATGTCAAGTGAAACTGCAGGAAAAGGGTGTAAGCATTTCTTTTCAACAGTTCACCCAGCAACATTGTTGAGTCTCCATCCCTGGAGACACCCAGAGCCCAGCTGGAGCCCAGCCCTGAGCAGCCTGCTCTGGCTGAGCCCGCTGTGAGCAGGACGCTGGATGAGATGACCTCCAGACCTTTCTTCCCACCTCAGCTGTCCTATCTCTTCCTCTCTTAGCAAAATACAGTGGACATTCTTTTTCTGCTTTTTTTATTTTTTTTACACATATTAATTCTCCTTGCTGGGATGCACGAACCCCAGCCTGGATTTTCAGGACCTCCGATATGTCTCAGTGCGCTTTGGTGAAAATAAAAAGGCAGCTTAGAGATTAAAATATACACATATTTTACAAAAATTAAACTCATTGACAATTCTGAAATGAGAACTTCATCAATGCCAAATAGCACATCCCCATTTGCTACTAATTTTTCTGATAAATTCTGTTGGTCCAGCAACAAGACTTCTATTTTTTTTTCTACAGCAAAGTAGAGGCACAAATTGAACAAATTATTTCTCAGGAAAAAACAGCACAAGATAAAGTGTGGGGTTTTTTAAATTTCCTGTCGGTGGATAAAAACCTCCTCCAGCTGGGCCAGCAGCCCTTTCTATCAGAACTCACTAAAATTCTTCTTCACGAACCTCACTAACTAACTTGGTTTTAACTTCTGAACAAAAAAACCAAGCCCCTCACAAACAAAACCAAACCACCAAACCCAGCACAGACTTCAATTTCTAGTTAAGGCTCACTGCACTAGTTTGTTACCACAATTTTACATGTGCAATTTCCTGTTTTTCCAGCTAGCTTACTGTCACCTGGTTTTATAAAGTATACATAAACTTTACTGACACACTTTTAATAACAAAACAGATCAGGAGAAAACCATGTACAAAAACCTCCAGAGATTTCCTTTCCATTTACATAGGCTTGGATAAATTATTTGACACACCAAGTAATCACACCCATCTTACCGCTTTTGAAAAATCCAAACACCCCACTCCACGTTCAAAAGTCCCGAGGCCGATAACCTGCAGCGTCACCAGGCTCACCGAGTCCCATACCCTAACATGGGGCTGCAGAGGCTGCGTGAAAAAGCAACGGGACAAAGAGCATCATCAATAGTGAACGCATCATCTGCAGGTGTCAAGTTCTGTTAAGCTGATGCTACCGGAATTACATACTGCAGACCGAAATGCAGGATGACCTGTGCTAACAATGCCGCTGGATAGTGTCCCTTGAAGCTCAAAAGGTGAGAGTCAAGACAATCTTGCTCCCTGTGTCTGGGCTACGAACACGGCAGCGGTGCCATTGAGGCAAGAAATTAAGTATGGTGGCATTTGGCAGGTGTGAAAATAGATCTTTGCCCAATTTAAATCATTGAACAAGTAATGGAAGAATCATCTTGCATTTCAGATGCCAAACCTAGCAATCTTATGCAACAACTGAAAATAACCAACAACGATGGGGTTTTATATATAAAGTAGGAAATAAATAAATAAACAAACAACAAAAAATCCCTGGTGTACCAAGTCCCTTAACCATCACCAACCACTCAATGAAAACCATGGTTATGTTTCATAAAAGTACTATCCCAAACCAGCTTAGCGTCATAAATGTGAAACAATCACAAATAAAGGGGGAATTAAGTTGGTTTAAGGACAGCATTCACCATAGAAAGCAACAATAAATCATCCCACTGATGGAAAAACAAGCCAACCAGCCCTAACAAGAGATTCAACAACTGTTCAGTGGAAATTTTAACAATAACTATACAAAGAAACCCACATCAATTTCTTCACAAAATCTAAGGAATTAAGTTGAACATTCTATAAAAAAAAACCCACATCAATTTCTTCACAAAATCTAAGGAATTAAGTTGAACATCTCAGTAAGGGTTATTTTTAATGTGCTTCTACAACTCATAGTATCTGTCTTCCCCGCGTTCCTCTTTTTTTTTTTTTCCTCTGTCCAAAACTTCATGAAGATAATCTAATTATTCAAAGTCTGACAGAGTTCACCAACAGCCAGGGACAAGAGCATTTAAACACACTTGCTCTCAAATGAGGAAGTTTGCAGGAAAGCTTGACACACTTTCCATGAATTCTCAAAGGTGGTTTCCTCTTCCATGAAGCCTTAAGAGTACACTGATCCACAGAACTGGGGACTTGTTCTCCTCTGGGTGAAGACTTATTGAAAGAAATGTGACAGAAATGGTGTGGCCTTATAAATCAATCACAAGCTTCACATTTGCTTGCAAAATTAGGATTGAGTTTCCTATGTCACAGATAAAGGACTTAATGAGCTTCTGCTCTTTTTGATGTATGGCTGAGTGCTTAGTTGTTACTGTCTTTTGCTAGGGATATAGGCTGTTACGTTAGAAATGGCAAAATATCTCAGTATATGCAGTGCATAAAATAAACTGCAAACAGAAGGTGATGAATCAGATTAAAAAAATCAAAACACTTTTCCCTGATTTTCAAAACAAGATACTACTGCTCAACAGCTCTATTACTTACCCTTCCATCTTTATCCACTCCAGCTAACTGTCCTGTTGCAATTCTAATTTTGTCTGGATGAACTGCAAGACTAAGACAGACAGAAATATGACTTGCTTTTGCTGTCATAGGTCTTCAAAACTGAGAGGTTTTTTTGTATTTTTTGTTTTCTTTCTCAACAGAAGCCCATGAAGACACTCATGATCCTAGATCCCACTTTTAAAGAGACAGCTTGACTGTTTTTCATGAGACTATTTCATGACACACCGTACTGATGGGTTGATCAGGCTCTTGTGATTGCTGCTGGCACAAAACCAGGCGTGCCAGAAGAGCCACCTCCACATGTGCTCTGATAAATCTATAGTTTGCACTATATTGGGAGTCCACTGTAACAAAATATGTATCGCCTCATGATGAACTTCTACATGTAGTTATGCGCCATATTTATAAACACTAGAGCACATTTTATGCCTAAACCTATAGACAGCATGAAACCGGGGAAAAAAACAGTTGAAAAGTTGGCTGAGAGCTCGTGCACCCAGGAGTCATGGATTACTGCCACTTGGAATGAGTTACTGATGTAATTGTACTAATGAAATTCTCCAGCATGGTGCACTACTAGTGTAAGTAAAGAACTGCTTTTGCTTATCACATTTTGCATTGGAGACGATGTGAAAAAATAGATAGTGCAGTTTCAGAGTACACATCCTCTTAAGTCCTAGTGATTTTTTGACCGACCTTCTTATTTCTCTGTGAAATCACAAAGGTGAAGAAAGCCATTGAAATAGGAAAGGGGGAGCAGGGGGGACCCTGGAGAGGTCAGAGTGATGGACACCAAAACTATTTAGAATTCAGCCTAGTTTTTTGAATGAAAGTGAAGAACACAAGACTGACAGCAATCCTCCTACAGGAAGCAAATACAGTTCTCAAAGCCAGGAGAAAAGAAGTTTAGATGGCAATTCTCCTCCATTCAGGTACAGTAGGGAGCTTATGTTTGCCATTACATTATTTGCACTACTCTTCAGACTAACACTGTAAAGTCAGCAATTTTGCTTTGTATCCACAATGACGCCGGCTTCAATTTCCCTGCTTCTCTGTTTTGTTTGGCAAACATCTATCTGATTTCCCAGTCTTAATACCTGGATAGGGCTTCTATTAAAAAATGAGAAAATTATCATTCAGTTTTCCATTTGATTTTCTAATTCTGCTTTAAGACTACACCTTTGCTATGCTGCCTGTAAATCACAGACTTAAAATTAGGCTGAAAACAATTTTTAATTTCTGGGACATCTATTTAGAATAATTTACACAAAGAACCCTTCTCTAATCTGGCACTCTTAGATTGTCTATGTATCTCATTGTTTTACATTTAAACCAGAAACCCTAACCTAGCATGGACTGCCCTAGCACCGTTCATTCGTGCAATATTTACTGCAGTGAAATCTACTGGGACTGATGAAACAGAAAATAACTACAATTAGGATGACATTAACAACCTCATACATACAGTAGGAGAAAATAAAAAAATACATTTCTGCATTATCACACACATACTTACATGCAAATGTTATATACTAACCATTTAACGCAGTCTGTATGACCCAAGTAGTGTCGCTGAGTTCTCTCCTCATAGTTAAAAAGTACCACCACCGACGCTATGAAATATACAATTTCTCCGGTAGGAAGGAGGTAAACATTGGCTCGACAGTCTCTTCCACGATACCCATATCTATGCATATATTTTTTTAAAGTCAAGGTTTTCATAATCACTGTATACCAGAAAAAACCAACAACCTTAAAACACAACTTTTTTTTTCCTCCCTTAAAGGATTCCTGGGTGCTCTCATGTCAGCAAATGTCCTTTATGTTTTTCCTTTGGAACTATAGCACAATTTCAGTAACAAAGTTTAAAAAAAGCCAAAACAAAACAAACCCCACACAACTGGACTTCAGGAAACCAAATCCTTTAAAAAGTGATGTTCACTGATGTTAAAAATAAAACATATACAAGACACACTGAAGTAAAACAAATACAGTGTTGTCAATTTAAAAAAAATCCCCATGTGACATTTCATTAGGTAACAGCAGGACTTGCTGTATTGGCTTAACATTTTTTGCAGCAACTGAGCCGAGCACCTGCACCCCGGGCACCAGAGTATTACTTCCCTTTGGCCTTTTAAAACAAGCGTGTGAAAATTCCTAATGCCCTTCAGAAAAAGGCAAGCTTCTGCACAGCAGCTGCCAAGTTCAGGAAATATTTCTTTAGAATGTTTTAAGAGTATTTTTAAAACAAACAAAACTCAAAAGGAACTGACATAGTGAAAAATATTCTATCCACATCTACCCAAAACCCATAAAAGGGATGATTTTTGTAGGAAACCTGCATGACTCCTAACGACATTCGTAAGTTTTACACACTGTGAACCAACCTAGCACTAATCAAATGTTATGACAACTCATTATTTCTTTGAAACAGGTACAATTTTCTTCACCTAGACTATTAGTGTGGCTGGCTGCCTGTATTTCAGTTCCCAGGGTCACTAGGTACAATTAACATCATAACTCAGACTTTAACTGCAGCTCTGCAGCCTCAAAAAAAATACAATTTTCCTGTTATGTCCTGCACTTCAGAGAGCTCCCCACTTCAATGCCAACTAATACACCTGCAACAGCAAGGAAAATATGGGAAATACATTAAGCAACTTTAGCTGAAGGATTCCAGCCTTAGGTCCTAGTTAATCAGAAAGATAAAAGGAAGCCAAAAACCCACAAGGAGAAAAAGCTGGAGGGAAGAAGCCGGCCCTTTCTCACAAATGAAAGCAGGGGCAGTAGTCCAAGTTTGACAGTATGTAAACCAACATCTCCTAAGCTGACAGCCTGGCATCTATTCTTCTTGGAAAAGAAGGTTACCTTTCTACCAAAAACTCTACCACATCGCTTCCCAATGCCACCCCCTCGCTCCTGAAATCCTCCCACTGCACTACCTTTCCTCTTTTGTAGTCCCATTAATCCACAGGACTGTTATACCATGGGAACACTTGAAAAACTAAACACGTGCTGTAACTAAATATTGGTTCAAAGAGGGACACTGGATTCAGTTGCCAATTAAACCTCTTAACAGTACAGAAACCAAAACAGATTTATATCTTGCTGTCTTCCCTTTATTACGGAAGAACACAATGGCTCCCCTGAAGCAGAGATTATTCACTGGCTTGCTTAGCAAATGATATTGAGAGAAATGCTGATACAACACAATGCTGAGGGCAGAAAAAAGGATGCCTCATTTCCTCCTTCATCATTATTTACTTTCCCACTAAATTTTCCACTTTCTTTAAACACCGATGGAACAAAAAGAAACTCCAGAACGGCCCTTCATTAAAAAAAACCCCAACCAAACCAAAACAACCAGACCACTGAACTTTCAAAAACGATGGGCTGCAAACCAATGAAAATATTTTTCTATCCTGAAGTATGAAGAATGCTATTCTAAATACCTTCTCAGAGGAGAAAGACAGATCTTGTTATCTGCTGCATATAACAGGGAGTGTATTGATAAGGACTTATTAAGATTGGCATCTTTGAACATTCATCCTAAAAAAGTATCGATGATTTACGCAAACAGGCCTTTCCACAGCAGCAGTCTACCATGCAAAGCTGAAGCTAAATATTTTGGCATCCATCATTGAGCTTTGGCATTCATGAGGCTGCAAAAATGGTTACATTTCCTCAGTCCATTCCTTTCCTTTACCCCTCCTACATAATACAGTACCAGAGAGTGGCTGCATCTTCTAAGAGCATGTTTTCTAGGAGCATGTAAAAAACCAGACTTTTGTGGGAGAAAACTTCTGTTTTCTTCATTATCCATCCCAGACAATCTTGAGAGAAAACGAGAGGGGTTGTTGCTCCACAGCAGTTCTTCCCTCCTCCACACACTCAGAACAAAGCAGCAGATACATTAATATAATAATTGTCCCTCTACAGAAAAAGGAGTAACAAAACTTTGATGCTTAATTTCCACTAAATTTCAGTGTTAATCTTTCAATGAGACTGATGTTTCAACCAGGGAAATTCAGAGATAGTTGTTTTCATATTGGGAACGTTTCTCACCAACTACTGTTTTGTCACAACATTTGATATGTCCAGCAGCTTTTAGTTTTGGGGTCCTTTTTGTTTTAATTGGCTAAGAACAGCCATGGCCCTCATGAAAAGTGATCCACTGTACACCAGAATTCAATAGTATATTTACCACTGCCTTCAATTCTTCTTAGAAAGCAGAGCACTAGCTCTAAAAATAAACTTATAAAACAGAGTCAGAAACACCCTCCAGAAACTGAGCTACTATACACTGGGAGAAATTCTATAAAGTCTCTGCCTGTCAAAAGCAGCACTGACTGTGACCTCTGTAGCTCCTAAATAAGCCCATTTCCCTATTACTAGGAATGCCAGATTATGCTTTAACCAGTTCTGAAGTGCAGTAGGAAAGATTGCGCTACAAAGCGGGGATACCCAAACTAAATTATTAAGTTCAAATTAAATCATTCAGGAACCAGACACAGTCAAGAGCTCAGACTTCCCCACGAGCTACTTTATCTTGCCAAGCAGCTTAGGTGTTTCTTCGATTGACAGTAACGTGCCAGGCAGACAAAAGCTAAGCATGTTCTCTTGAATCTACAGTACTGGGTATCAGTTGTTGAATATACCTGCAGGACACAGTTCATCTAAAAAGGACACCCCCCTCCCAAACCAACCAACCACCCAAAAACCACCCCCAACCAAAAAACCCATCCCAAGAACCCTTCAGTTCTTGCCCTGAAATTGTTCATAGTTGATCAGCATCTTCCAAAACAGTAACATCGAAGGAAAACTCAATTATAAACAATAATCCAGAAGGCAGGAGAATTAAAGGTGTTCAGAACAAAACTTACAGACTGAACAGTTTAACGCTCAATTGACCTTTCAGCTGCAAAACACTGACATTACTAAAATATTCTGTGAAACACTGTCCCCATGCCTTTTTAATAAGGTGTATGGACTTCAGTTTGCCATCATATTTGGAAGTTACAGCTGGTGTGCAGCGTTTTTCCCCTTACTAAACCTGTGCATGAAGTACAAGATCCTCTGCTGCTCTATCTTCCTGTCTCCAAAACTGAAGAGGAATTTTGTGCAACTTCACAGAGACCAGTATTAAGCCCTCATAAATTTTACTGCTTCTTCCTCATTGTTTTCTTCACCATCATATCCAAAAGATACCCTACACTCATAACTATACTGGTCTGATTTAGGATGATATCTCCTTAAACAGATTCCAAAAACATACGGACAGTCTGTTCAGACTAGATTTATTTCATTTCAATTAGCCCTTAGCAGGAAACTGGTTTAAGCTGAACTTAAGATCCTTGGACATTAAATAAGTGTGTCCACACTGGGATTTGCACCTACTTAACTGAGGGTGTGATTTCATGATCAGTTTCCATCAGTCCAAACTGCTCACTACTAATGAAAAAGTAGATCTGATCTTCTACTAGTATGCCAGTTCCAGCTCTTGCATGTTTGTGGCGCAAATCTAATTAATTAATTGATCCTGCTGAAAGTTAACTCTGCAAAAAAAGATTACATTTTAGCCAGATCAGTGACTGACCCAATTCACCTCACAGTCATATGAGTGTCGGCATCAATACCCAAGAGCTGTGACAGTAGGAAAGCTGGACACCACTTTGCAAAAGCATGAGTAAGAGCTCTCTCTTCCTTCCAGTCAGACTTTTAATCGAAAACTTTCCTCCTTTACGGTCTAAGTTTCCACAGTCTCACTGAAAAGTTCAGAGGACATGAGCTCCACAGCTGATTTTCATAACAAAGTACCAAACATTATCTGTTTCAAACATCTACTTATTAATAAAGGCAGGAAAAGTAATAGAGAAGACTTCTTTCCTAAAGCGAGTTACAAGCAGCGGCTTAAAATATGTGTGTGCCTCAGTCACGGACAGATATGCTGGGAGAGGTACGGGCAGCCTCTGCCTGTACATATCCTGACATATGACAGTGTATCATCAACATTCCTAAAAATCTTCCTGCTTTCAGCAACATCAGAAGGATCAAACTTGAGATTATTACAGCAACTCAAGTGCTGCCTAGACATGTTATTTTACTGAAGTACTAAGAAAGTTACTTATACAATCACAGCTTACTGGAAGAATCTGCAGGGACGGGGGGTGACAGGAAGACCCAAATGTGTGCAGAAGCACAACTTTTATAATGAGCTTAATGTCTGATCTACTAAGCCTGGAGAATTGTCATCAGCCACACACCAACTCCAGTGTTCAAATGATAAATTTATTTAATGCGTTTAATGAAAACTAGTCTCCAAGAAGTTAACCCCTTCGCTTTGGAGCTGAAACACAGCAGCAGTGCAAAAGATGGCTGCTTCTGCAGTCCTCACTCCGTAGGCAAGGACAAGAAATTCAGTATCTTTCATAGCTCTAAAACCTCCTAAAAATGAACAGAGATTGAAAACTAACAATGTTCCTGAACGCAAAGCCTACATTAATATATTGGGAGGCAGAGAGGGACATTTTTGAAACTCTCTAAATCTCCAAAGACACTTTCTTTCACACTAAAAATAAACTGCAATTAGTGTCAACAGCAAAACAAAGAAAAAGTACAGCTTTTCTGTGCCTACGTAGTTTGCACCTTAAAGTCGTACTACACACTAGCTACAAACCATTTCAATTGTTATATTAAATTGAACTTTCTTCCCCACTTTTAAGTAAGTTATCTCTGAACAGGGAAAACACAAGACCAGATTCTAAAGGGAAAAAAAAACAACCAAGACAAGACGAAAAGGGAACAGCAAGTAGTTACTCATATCAAGGATACACCCACTCCAGTTTTAACTTTTCAGGAGGCAGCTCTGTCCTAATATCATCATAGTTTTCTACATCAGAAGGAATGAACATTGTGATTGGTCGACCTCGCATGAACATCTTGATATATTCTCCCTCTGTTGAAACAAAAAAAGTGTATTAATCATGTGGCAAGTTTACACAAGAAATAAGCACAAAAGAAACCAGTAATAAGCATAGAAATGCAAATAGCACTTGTGCTGTAACAATTATTTTTGAAATCTGAGCTTGGTAAAGGCCTAGATTTTTTTTTTTTTAATGGAACACTAAAACACACACACGCACACACACAGAGTAAGTGTTAGTTGACTTTGTGATAGAACAGACTAAGCATGTAACATTTTAGACATACAAATTACATTACAAAGGCAAATTCCAAATTCAAATTAAAATCTGAAATGGAACAGTCATAGAAGCACAGGATAAGGTACTTCAGGTCGAAGGGGACATCAGGAAGTCTTTAAGTCCAACCTCTGGCTCAAAGCAGGATCAGCCATGAGGTCAGACTAGGTTGGCTCAGGATTTTGCCTAGTCCAGTCCTGAAAACCTCCAAGGGTGGAGATGGCACAGCCCCTGTTGGCACCTGGCTGTCTGCCAGCACCCCCAGGACCTTTCCCGCAGAGCTGCTCCCTGTGGCCCCCCTGGCCCCAGCCTGTATCCCTCCAGGAGCTCTTCCTTCCCCCAGGTGCAGGACTTGGCATTTGTCCTTGCTTAATTTTGCGAAGTTCCTGCAGGCCCATCCCTCCACCCTGCCCAGGTACTCCTGGTTGGCAGCTCTACCCTCGAGCACATCCAGTGGGCCTCCTGGACTGCTGTCACCTGCCAACTTGAGAGTGCACTGTGTTGCCTGCTCCAGGTCATTGCTAAAGGTGTTAAACAGGAGAGGTCCAGGACAGACCCCCGCAGGCTCCGCTTGTTACCTACTGGCTGCCACGTAGAGTATTACCCACTAACCACAACCCGCTGAGGCCAACCATCCAACGGGTTCTTTAATCCACGTAGCTGCCCACCTATCCAAACCGTAACGGCCGAGCTGAGACACAAGGGTACTGCAGGAAAAGTGTCACAAGCTTTGCTGAGGAACGTTGTCTGAAATTATATATCACCACAAACTAATACACTAACCTGAATTATTAATTCATTGAAATCATTCCAATTGCATGCTATTGCATATTGCATCATACCCTGAAGAATGGAAAGAAGCAACAGCTCCTAACGACTCCAGCTTTAACGCCATCTACAGCTATTACAAAATACATGCCTATTGCTGCTGTTGGGGCATCCACACACTTCACAAGCCTTTAGGAGTTCCTTTTCAAGGAACATGAGATTATTTTCCACCAGAGAAAACTAATTACAGAGGAGCTGAGTGGCTTGGTCAAACACATTAGCCAGTCGTTGGAAGGTAAGCCATCTGGATGTAAGGAATACATGACTGCAACTAGCATATTAAGCGCCCTACTAGAATCTTCCCTCCACACTATGACAATGATTATTTTCTAACTTCAGAAGACCAGAAAAGCCCTTGGAGACTTTTAAAAGCCTTTACACCCTACCCACACAGCCAAACCTGCACTGTCGTGCTGTTTAACTATGGTTAAATCAGGCCTCGAGTCCACAAGAATTAATGCCAACTTTCAATGCTGCTGACACAAGAGTTTCACTTTGAAAAGCACTGATGACAAAGACCCAAGTATTTCACTAATTTTGCATCAATTAAATGGTAACTTTTTATCACTCTAACTTCTTTAGTAATTAATAACCATTGTTAATGTAACTAATATTATAAATCCAAAGTAATTCCAGTTGTGAGTCTGGAACTCAGATATTTTTTTACGAGTGGGGATTTCAAAATCACAGCAGACAGAGGGAACTCAAAGTTTCAAACCAAAATGTAAATAGTTGAGTAGGACTGGAAGAGAAGAATAGGTACGAATTAGCAATACAGTATTAAGAAATCTCTAATCGGATTTGATGCAACCAATATTGAGCTTTAAAATTAAGATCTTTAAACAATTACTGTTGTATTTCTCTCAAAAGACAAACATGAGACAGACTTCCCATAAATGCCCAGGGAATGCTTCTAAATATTTCCCCAATTAAGCGTAAGATTATTACTCAGACTGCATGAATGTGCAATCTATTTTTTGCACTCCCTAAGACACCTAAAATTGAAATTATGAGAAACTCAGACTTATTCCCACAGAACTATAGTTTAACAGCTTGAGGCAAACTTTGAGATCTGAAAAGGTAAGAGAAAGTAGGTAATTTCAGTGACAGCAGAAGCAATGTAGACTCCAAAATAGTCTCTTGCTTACAGAAACATTTTAGAAGATGCAAGGATCGAGAAATAATCAAAGTTGCGAGCAAGACCAACCTTAAGCCAAGGTCTCTACCCTTCTCTGCACTTGAAATACCCCTCCCATACAGACTGCAGAAACGTATTCTGTCTCACTGCAGTCAGAAAGGAATGAGAGAGGAAAAACCCTGTTAACTATTTTCATCCACCAAAGATATAGAGCAGTCTTGCACGAACTTTGGAAAGGAATTCTTCACACTCAAGGTCTTTCTTCTACAGCTAGACAAGACAGAAGACCAACAATCATTAAATGTCTAATGAAAAAGTGTGGTGAATATTTGAGGTTATTTAAAAGAAGTATTTCTGATCATAGCGAATCTTATCAGAGTTGTCTGAAATTCTGTAGAATACCACCCCAGCTCTAGCTTTGAATACAGCAGTGATGATCGTAGCACTGCTAATGACTTGGGCAGCATTGACACATATATGAAAAATCTATGGTGTCCAAATCATATAATATATTCAGTAACTCCTAGCCAGAGAAAGAACTACCCAAGAGCTTGCATGGTTTTAACATCACTTGTCACAGCATTGCTCAAACTTAACTAGCTCAATAAACCCACATCCCTGAACAGAAGCTAGTTAAAAGGATTCTACTACATGTGTGATACTCACTTTGAAGATTTCGCAACACGTGGCTTAATTTGTCAAAACCTTTTTTTTCCTCTTAACACACTGTAGTTTGATTTTTTGATGCTTAACAGTTTTAACAATTTTTTTAATTGTTTGATGAAACAGATCACAGTTTGTCAAATTTACCAAGTTCCCAGACTTAAAAGATATGATTATTGTGACTCCTTTTCTACTTTTAGTGTGCTCAAGTCAACCTTCTGAGACCAATAATTCATTTTACTTGAATTTTGTGTCTCTCTTGATCCCGATAGTAGTTTTACTCTGAGCTGGACGCAAGAGACGTGAATTTTTCTACGATAGTTCAAATACAGCTGAAAGCTAGTGCAAAAAACCACAGGCTTAAAAAATAATTCCTGAACAGGAATCATAATAATTGAGCAATGTAAAACTAACACATGCACAGAGGTTTCTCCTCATTTAGAACATTAATACAATGAAAGTTGAGCCATTTAAGGCTAGTATCATAGGAACAAATACCGAGATGAAAAACAGTTGTCCCACTTCTAAGAACAAATACGGCTCCTTTGAACAAGAACCCTGTGAGTCCATCCACTGACAACAGTAGAAAACTTGCCTCAGATCAAATATCAAAGAACAAAGGAAATCACTTCCCAGTTGCTAAATTAGAAACAATAGTTATTTTACCAAGTGTGCATTGCTTAATTGCGTTGCTGAGAAAAGCTAAAGATTGGTGTCGTCATTAGTTTTGACAAAAATGTTTAGACAATTATTCCAAATTAGTAGTATGCGTCATTTTTCCACTAAATTTTTTTTTATAGTATCTGTTTTACAGAGATAAACAATACTGGTTAAAACCAAGAGGAACATATTAATGACAACCTTTCTTTTAAAATGCGGTGCTCACACTTATAACTTAAAGCACAGCGTAGCCTCAGTGTTGGGATCACCCTGCATGGCTCGACCTTAAGGAGAAGGAGCTGTAGCGTTGATCTGCATAGCTCGACCTTAAGGAGAAGGAGCTGTGGCACTGAGAAGCTGGTAAACAGCTGGATATCTGCACGGCTCGGCCTTGAGGAGAAGGAGCTGTGGAAAACAACTAAGAAGAAGCGAGGAAAACAGGAACACCTGCAAGCAGCAATCCTGACTGTGTGAGGGGCGCGTGGACAGCGCGTGATATTTTGTATATAGCCAATTGCAATAGTGTGTGTAACAAGTTGTAACCAATCATGAGTGTGTGCGCAGTGACTAAGCGAAAATTATGATATATATTGGAGTCAGACAAGACAATAAACGGCTTCAGAATATAACTCTTCTAGAGTTGTGAAGTCCATCCTTCTCCCGCACCTCAGTGTATTTAGAAAAGACCATTCGTTTGTGCAAGTCAAATTCTTGGTTTAATACTGAGCTTGGTTCCACAAGATCAGTGCAAAATGACACCATGAATTTAGGATCAAGTATCTGATCACTGCTTAGAAGAGTGGAGACAAGTCGCAACCGAAATTTAGACGGATGGAGGCAGTTGCACCTGTCGGACGCTGCAGATGAGAGAGACGTAGAGTCCAAGAGGAATTCAGTCAGGTCTTTGGCCAGAGAGAAGAGGCTCTCCTGGAGCTCAGGGCAAAGGCTATCTGCAGGGCATTCATTCAGATACAAATTAGCTCTCTGAACTTCCCTATTAAAGAAAGAACATTTTTTCCTTTTATCAGCTAGCTGCATGTTATTCAAGATTACCTCTGAAGATACATACTTAACACACTTGTTAGAGAGACATAGGCTAGGTATAACTTGATTAAGCCTCTCCCTACAGAAGAGGAAGGATTAAAACAAAACAAAACACAAAACAAAAAAAAAACAAACAAAAAAAAAACCACAAACCAAAAAAACCCCACAAAACAAACAAAAAAAAGATACAACCGACTGAAAGATTTTGTCTAAGACTGTGAATTTCCTTTTGTCAGAATAACCTGTAGGGCAGATAGAATATTAATGTAAAAATCTTTTGAAATACTAGAGAGGATGACAGCATATCAACAAAACCATTCTCAAACATCAACTAATTGCCTGAGGCCCAAATTCTTGTAAATGCAAGTTAAGAAAACTAGTGATTTAACGCTTTCATAGCACAAAAGCTATGGCTCAAGTGAATGCTCAAGAGCATTAGATGATCTGTTTCTTTCCTGCATTCTCACTATTTTCAGGTACAAAACAGTATGTCAAGACTTCTTTTTCTTCACTTCATCTTTTGGAAGGAAAGAGCCTTGGTCATCTCATAACAGATATGTAGGTAGTGGGGTGCGGGGGAAATAAAGTCAGAAGTTTTAAAGAAAGTGGGTAAAAAACCCCAACAAGCAAAAAATCCTCGACAATTTTATCTACCAGCCTGAAAACAGTAGGTATGAAAGTAAAAATTCTCTACCCCATATAAAGAGATGTTGAGACCCCACTACCCCCTGTGCAGAAGCATTTGGGGGAGGGAAGGAAGGGGCATGAGGGGATATCTGAAAGGACCTTGGCTTTTGCTAAGTTAATTAATCCTCAACTGCAGACTTCCCGTGCCTGCTTTCAAACATAGATCAAACCAACCTAAAAGTACAGTTGAAACTCTGTAGATAGCACGCCCAGGTGCCACAGTTTATCCCCGCCACACAAAAAGGAACAGTTCAGGCCCAGGGTTGCTACGAAAGGCAGCATCACGTGGATGCCGCGCTCTGTCTTCAGGGGCCAGCTCTTCACCGGGAACAGCTGTAGCTGCTTTTGTGCAGCTCTAAGCTCAAATTCACAGCCCTTGCCAGACTCCGCTTGGCTCCACGATAATTCACCTCTGGAGCCTCAACAATCTCTTTGCACAAGTGCCAGGGGACACAGGACCAGCACTCACAATTTTTGCTCCCAGGATCAGCTCAAGCTTTTATCAGCCTCACACGGGAGGCCCTCTGGGTGTGCTGGACCTAAGCAGACTCCATGTAGGTCTCGGCTCTCTGTGGGATCCCCAGAGGTCTGGGAAAACCCTTAATTCAGCCCCAAAGATGCAGAAACATTTGATCTGACTACACTGTGGCCCCAGTCAGCTGAAGGGACACAAAACCTCGCTCAGGAAGTGACACCAAGACAGAGCCCAGTGACTTGGTGAGGGCCCACCTAAAGCTGGATGTGAGCACCAATCAGCCATGAGGCTCTGCAAACCTATGTCATTGAGCTGGAGGGACCTCACAGCTGAGCCCAGCCCAGCCGAGCCCAGCCCAGCCTGACAGACACACATCATGTCCTCCAGTGCCCGTTCTCTGCCTGTGTCACGCTGCTTTTCACTCTGATCAGATACTGCAGCACTCGCTCTGGACCACAGAGACTTGGCTGTCACTGGGATACACACAAATACGCTCTGTCAATTTTGGAATACCATCCAAAAACCTCCTTCTCCTAATAGCTGGGAACCTCCCAACTTCCAGGCGACAGTAAAGCGTGGCCAGGTTGCTTACTTTTTGTGCTCGTGACAGCATGGCTGCTAACTTCAGCACAGGTCTGCTCATCTGCTGTCTGAAAGTGCATCAGGTGAGCATGAGAACAGCAATCATGCCCTTCCTCCTCCCAGCCTTCCTTTTGCAAAAATAAAAACATCCAGCAATTTAGCTCTCTTTTTGTGTGATAAGGTTTCAGTCTGTCTCCACACCACCACAAAATTTACCTTTTATGATGGCCAGTGGCTGTAAGCGCATGCAGCGTTACAGAGGAGAACCTACAGGGTTCCGATGCGTTAACATTTTCCATAGGCTGCGTATCTCCATTAGAATTACTTCTGGTACATCCTGGGATTGCATTTGCATTTTCATAATAAGTGAGTGATTCAATCTTTGTGTGATCAACTAGCACATTGGAGCCCTTTTCCTCACTATTTAATTCTGGCAGAGAACATGTTTATAGCTAGCAACTCCTTGCATGTGTGCACTTCAAATAACTTAATTTTGTCTTATACTACTCCAGGCCTCAGGAACATCTGGGTCTTACTCTATCAAAACCCCAGCTTCTGCTGTATCAGTTCAGTCCCTCAGCTTCATGCCATCAATGAAATTCCATCAGTGCTCCTACTTTCCTGTGGCAAGTTCATTAGTGTAAACACTAAGCCAGATTGGTCCCAGGAGGCTGCAGGCAGACTTTTAGCAACCAGAGTATCTACTGCGGGTTCTTTGAAAGTTTATAGCCTGCTAGAGGAGAGAGGAACAAATATGTCAGTGAAACAAGGTGCTGATACTAAGAGGGAACCCTAGAAACCTGCCTGATCTGCAAGGGAACAAGTGCATCTTCTTCACTGACCATCACTGTAAGCCAGCGTATTTACCTTGCATGCAAATACCAAAAATTCAGGACTAAAACTGGGGGCAAATAAAAAATTGTAGACAAACAGTAGATAGCGGCTGAAAATTTTTGGCAAAGACTCCTTATATCAAAAGGAGATACCCATTAAAATAAATGAGCTTTTAATCAGGGTGTATTAAAAAAAAGGAAAAGCAGCACAAAGGTAACAGCAAAATTCAACTTCAAACCATGCCAATTAATTTACTCTCGGAAGAAAGTTTAAGACCCAGCAACATAGGGAAAGAAAGCTGGAAGGCAATACCAGTGGAAAACACCGCAGGTGAGAACAGACAGCAAAGATATGGCAACACAAACCATATGAAAGGCTGAAATTACTGCTTGCATGAAATCAGCACAGAAAGACTCAGAAATGACACTTAAGCAATTTATTACTTTCTATGAATCATATTCTTAGAGGAACATGGAAGGTTTTAAGAGGAAAATAATAAAAGTAATAGTAACTGAAAGGAGGAGAAAAAAAATATCAAAGAAGTCTTTGTAGATTAACTAAGAAATATCTACATAGAACAGCAATTCAGGAGACATGAAAGCTACTGTTTAGATCCTTCAGAAATTTGAACAGAGTGACATAACAAAACCAAAATCCTCCTGGTTTCCAAAAAACATGCCTCAAAGTGAAATCGTCAAGGAATACACAGTAGTTTCCTAGAAGCATGTGAGAAGCCCTCACCCTCAATTACCGATTTCTTCAACAAAACACTGGAAGAACATATTTCATATGACACTATTCCTCATTACTTTGACAGATCCTGAGGCAGCCCTGCAAGTTTGTGCTGTAATTAACTGCTCTTCGGCTAGCAAGTGTATGCATAGTGTATGCACAGTGTAAGTCTAACGAGCATATAGTAGATTTTATATATAGACACACATACACACTCACACAGAGTAGGTAATAGTGAATAAACAACAAAATAGATTATCTGTTTGTCAGCATGTTTATAAGTTTAATTCTTAAGGAATCATTATAATAATCTTATCTTGCAAATTTTTGTGACTATTTTTCAATAGGTCCCACTTCATCTAATTTGAAAGAGCAACATGGACTGATGCATCAAAACCCTCAACTCAGTTCTACTTGTGTTTAGCATCTGAATCTTACCCTTAAAGTGAATTACAAGCAAACGAAAAACCCCAAAAGACTCCAACTAGCTTGGCCAAGCAGAACTCTCTAATAAAATACAGTAAACTACCACATCCAGAGTACATTTATTAATCTGTCTTCACCTTCTAGTTGCTTGACCAGCGAAGTTATGCTCTTTAATACTACAAATAGCTTCTTTCCCACAAGCTTTCTGCTTTCAGGCCTGTGTCCAAGAACTCTGTAGGACCACTAACCTGAGGGACAAGAGCTTAGAAGCCTGTTTCTAATTTAAACCAATGCTAACAGCACAAAGACTAATACAACCAAATTCAGTCACCGTGCCCAGACCACTACATTTTAAGTTACAGTGGAATTAAAATGCGGCTGCATGTCTGCCATCTCTCGCTCTGAGCCATGTGTCAATGCTTGCTGAACCTGACAAGCAGACATGCACTGTTGTTATTGAGCAGTGGTGCAATGCAAACCAAATAGTCGAAAAAAGCAGATGAGACGAGATTTGCCTCAGTTTGGAATGATTTTACAGCTCTGCCTTGTGATTTCGTAACAGATCTTTGGTTACTGATTTTATATAACTTGCTAAGTAAATCAGTTAAAACGTTGTTTTTGCATGTACTGGCTGACATTAAGAATCTAGGTATTAACAACAGTTACTATTTGCATCGAAATTACTCAAGTTTGATATTAAATTCTAGGTTTTTGTTTTAAAAAAAAAAGAAAAAGGACTCCAAAAGGAGTACTGGACAAAAACAAGCTCAAGGCTGTACCTAAATGCTTCCTGCTTAAATAATAAAATCCTGACTTCATCAAGAATCAATGATAAAAACTCCCAAATACCAAATTGTTTTTCTGACAGTATCTATGGTTTTTAATAATATGCACTGTGCCTGAATGAGAGCAAGCAGCTCAATAATAATGGGAGAGACTGGGTCTCCATTTGGCGTCAGGTACGTGAGTACCTTCAATAAACATCCAACAGAAAATCTGTGTATGATAAAAAAACCTGATCCGAAGTAGTTACTGAATTTTGTACTCTCAGTGGACCAGACACACTATCAGCAGGGTAAATTTTTCCAGTGTGTGCTTCACGATTGCCCTATTCTGTGACGCTAGAACTATAGCGCAGTTAAACTAACAGAAGAAAAAGCACTGGAAACTAATAACACACAATCTTAAAAGAAACAAACTTAGGAATGCAGTGAATGTTTTTCATTAATTCTTTCACATATGGTTTTTATTGCCATCCCAAAACGTCTGAGCGTCTCTTATTGCTTTATAGTAACTGAACAAGTGATTCATATATGGAGCTGCTATCACTGAAAACCAGTCTA